CACACATTTCACAAAGCCTGCTTTCTGAATTCTGAACTACAGAGGAGCTGATAGGAGGAGTTTCAGGAAGCAAAGTCAGTACAGGAATCACTGCTTGCAGGCAGCAAGGTACCGTGGGGCACGTAGTCCTTAGAAATTGAGACGCAACTACAAAGCATGCAGGGAATACATGAATTTATGGAACGAGATGGCAGCAGACAGGCAGCAATCAGAACATGAAAAAAGATTTTCAAGTAAGTTTATATAGCATAGTGAATTATAACTATTGTTTGTATTGTTATCACAATGCTGATGTTATAAAATGAAAGTGTATGCTGTGACCCTAGATTTACTTTGTAAATCCCAACAATTTCCTTGTTTGCTCCCTTTTGGTGTTTTAACTGCTTCTCTGCTGCCCTGTAGCAGCAATACTGCTACAGGGTGGCAGGGGTGCGCAAAATCATATATATATATATATATATATATATATGGGATCTTGTATTTCCAGGTAGGGGGCGAGCGCGAGGCATGCACGCGCGTGCCCTACCCACGCTGTCATTCGCGACAGCACAGCCACCCAGAGCAGTGTGCTTACAGTGAACCACCAACCCACTGCCCCCCAGTAAAACACACACAGCACACAGTTAACCCTTTGATCGCCCCTCATGTTAACCCCTTCCTGCCCAGTGCCATTAGTGCAGTGTCAGTATCAGCACTGATCACTGTATTGGTGTCACTGGCAATGTCAGTGACACCAAGTCAGTTCCCCCCAGTGCCAGAATGCCTGCCGCAGTCCTGCTATAAGTCGCTGATCACCACCATTTACTTGTAAAAAAACAAATTCCACAAAATTTCATGTAAACCAATTCATTTACACTTATTGGGATTTTTTTTTTTTAGCAAAGACATGTAGCAGAATACATTTTGGCCTAAATGTATGACAAAATTAGATTTTTTTAATATTTGTATGTTTCTACTGGACATGTTTAATAGCAAAAAGTCAAAAATATTGTTTTTTCTCACAATTGTTGGCCTTTTTTTTATAAAAATAAAAAATGCACAGGTGATCAAATACCACCAAAAGAAAGCTCAATTCGTGGGAAAAAAAGGACGTACATTTCGTTTGGGTGCAGCGTTGCATGACCACGCAATTGTCAGTTAAAGTAACGCAGCACTGTAACGCAACAAATGGCCTGGTCAGGAAGGAGGGTAAATCCTCAGGAGGGCAAGGGGTTAAATACACATTTGACATTTTTGTTAACTTTTTTGGTATTTTTTCAACTAGTGCTAAAAATACCAGTTGATCCTGCCATGAATCTAGCAAGCTGATGACTTGCCGTGCGCTCTTATCAGTTTGCACTGTTTCCAGCTACCTCTGTGGATTACAGAATACCTTTCCCCAGGGCATGAAGATGAGTTGAGGGGGAGGTGTTCTGTAGTCCTTCCCTAGGGTGACAAAGCTGCTCCTTTACAGATTCAGTCCAATGAGTGAGAATTGTCACACTAGGACAGAAAGTTGGTTGCTGGCAGGATCGCTGGGTGACAATAAAGGAAAAAAGGCTGAAAAAGAAAAGAAAACTAATGCAGCCTCCACATCTAAGGACCTGCAAGCTACAATATATTATATTTTTGTATCTGAGTTTAGATATAATGGGATTGATTTACTAAAACGAGAGCATGCAAAATCTGGTGCAGTTGTCCATGGTAGCCAATCAGCTTCTAACTTCTGTTTGTTCAATTAAGCTTTGACAATAAAACCTGGAAGCTGATTGGTTTCTATGTAGAGCGGCACCAGATTTAGTAAATCAGCCCCAATGTGTCACAATCATTAGAACAGTAGTCAAACAGATAAAATATCAACAAATTGTTTTAATTAATTTGAGAATTTTAGTTCAGAACAAAAACAAAATAAAAAAGGCAATACTATGATTTTCATTTTATGAATGATAATAACGATAATAAAATATATGAAGACTCGAGTTTGGGAGGTTGGATATTTCCCATACTACAGAGCCATTATATTCAATGGCTTCCTCCAATGTGCTTCTTATGATTGATGCAAGGCCCAATAGAGGATGAAACAGCAGAAGTGCTGAACTCCAACATCCCTCAACTGCTGGAATGTGTCCTGTCATAGTCATTACACAACCCTTATAGGAAACTGTCCTTTAGGGGTTGTGTAATGACTATGATTGGGTGCTGGATGATGGTAACTTACTATTACTTTTTAGGTGTAATACATTACTTTTAAATGTGATGTTACTTTTTAGCATTTGAAAACTTTTTGGAGCTAAAATGACAGACAACACACGTGTAAGCAAACCTTAAAGTGATACTAAACCCACAACAGTAAAATCAGTCTTTATATGTGGTAAAGCATGCTTGTTATACTCACTGTGGCACCTAAGGGGTTAATCCTCTGCAATGTGTAAAAAGGCTGTTTGATCCTGTCTTCTCTACCCCTCCTCTTGTTCAAATGTTCAAATGTCCATATCTGAACTGCAGCCATTCTGCACATGCTCAGTTTGGTGTGTATTGCTAGAGAGGTTTTTCTTTTGGGGGGGAGAGTGCATGTGATCAGCACATGACCAATCAGCACTGTCCAGACAGAGGTCAGGGGTTTTGCATCCTAGAGCAGAAAGAAAACTCCTACAAGCCTTACCAGTGCTCTGCTGAACACTAATAGAAGTCACAAGACTGCTCTGTACTGCAGATGAGAAAAGGAATTTAGCAGTTTATATGTACTAAAATAATTGCATTTCCGTGTCCTGTGTACTGTGGGAGACCGGATATAGTGAATGCAGGGTCCTGGGAGACCAGATATAGTGAATGCAGTGTCCTGGGAGACCAGATATAGTGAATGCAGGGTCCTGGGTTTAGTAACACTTTAACTCAGGGGTGTCAAACTGGCGTCCCTCCAGCTGTTATGAAACTACAAGTCCCATCATGCCTCTGCCTTTGGGAGTCATGCTTGTAACTGTCAATCCTGCAATGCCTCATGGGACTTGTAGTTTGGCAACAGCTGGAGGGCCACCAGTTTGACACCAGTGCTTTAACTGAATGAAGGTTACAATGCTAAAGCACTCTGTATCATAAACAATTGACATGTTTTTATTTATTTAATAAAAGAGTTATTTTCATACTTTGTTATATGTAAATGCTGCTGGTCAGGGGCGGACAGACAACTCATGCGGCCCCCGGGCAATAGGAAATCATGGGGCCCCTGTGTCCTCGCCCACACTCAAACCACACCCAAAAAAGCCTATGAAAGCTACCAGGGGCATCTCATAGGGCCCCCTACTGACCCTGGGCCCTCTGGTAGTGCCCGAGGGGCTAAATGGTCAGTCCACCCCTGCTGGTCTCCTGCAGCCTCTTTGCAGCTATTTCCTGTCTTTATTTACTGCAGCGATGGCTGCTCACCATTTCTCAGGACAGGTGGCAACAGTAAACCATGCCATGCCTATGTAATGTGTGTTGATATGTCCACGTGTTGTCTGCATCTGAGGTCTTTATGGCAGGGTGACAACACAGAAGCACAATTGGAAGACATCACCCCTATAACAGGAAGTGCCTGATCAAGGACAGGATCACCAGGTATTATTTTAATGAAAGTTGCAAATCTAAATATATATCCTGATGAAGTCACGTGATTGAAGTGACGTAACGCGTAGATACGCCAGTGGGAGGAGCTTACACGAACGTTCTGACGTCATATCCGGCGTGGGCGCCATCTTGGTGCTCCCAGTTCCTTAATGCAGTACACCCTTTGAGTGGTGTGAAGGCTCGTTTTTTACGATTGAATGTGTGAGTAGTTTTTTGGTTTTATCACTCATATAATAAAGCGATTTTACACTATATAAGTTCTCTCTCCTTATTGATGACCGTGTGGGAGGGGTACCTTCGATACCACCAACGCTCTGGTATAGGAGATTAGAGGAGGAGAGTCCCACCATTACTTCCCGAGGGATCCACCATCTGAAGGATCTACCCAAGACCCACCATATATCAAAAGGCTCATTGGTCCCTAGGGGCCTGGGCAGGAAGGTGAGGGGGCACTTCACCTATTTGAGGATTGGCACTTACAGTTTTCACCTGCATGGAATTTTATGCACATGGACACTATTTACTGCATTATGTTTATAGTCACTATAGTGCATGAATAAGTTGCTTGAGATTATGTCACCACCAGCCCATTTATTTATATAAGAGGTACGGCTGTGTGGGTCACGTTCAATTATATATATATGCCATCTGATATATTATATTTTACCTTGGTTTGAGCGCTGCACTATTTTTCTATTATTTCTCTCGCAAATCTAAAGAAGAATTTCAGATATGGATTTTTTTTTATGTACCTATGTACATACCATACCAGTGGAATCAGTCTAGAAATAGGAAATACATGTAGTAGGCACCACTATTCCAGAGGTGTCCACTAGCTGCCAGGTTCTGTGCCGAGTGGGTGCCCTGCTGCATTGTAAGCATGGACTCCATTCAGAGTTTGCTCTGCATCTTCTCAAATAATGCAAAGCCTTCTCTGATTGGATGAGGTGGAGAGGTGGGGCGGTGGTGACATCACACTTTCCTCCTTATCCAATCAGAAAATTCTCCTGTGTTCAGGGCAGCCTCTTGGCATGGGACACAGAAGATAGTGGAGATCACTGGAGTAGCTGTGCTTTCCACAATGGTTTCCAGCTTCTAGAGGGATCCCAGACCTATGGCATGTGCATAGTCAGGGCCCGGACAAGCGATGGGCAGGAGGGACAGCTGACCTGGGCGCAATCATTTTCTAATTTTTTGATAAGTGAATGACAAGCTTGCACATCATGAATGGGGGATGAGGGGCGTAGTTTGGCATCTTTGCCCTGGGTGCTGGTTGATCTTGTCCCAGCACTGTACATAGTTATATTGGTCCATGTAAAAATATCTATACCTGGAATACTTTAAACATACTAACAATGAATTAATTGCATGTTAATATATATAAGAGCTATATAGCATCTATAGCATCATGCTCCTACCTGCACAGTACACACGTACACCTGGTGGGCTCCACTCTCTCCAGGAAGCCAAGATATCTCCAATTCTGTTGTACTCCGTGTCACCAGTTGTAGGTCCACTGGTTTCCTTGGTAGAACTGGAATTAGCAGACATACGTTTAATTACTTAGTAACACTGAGACATCACTAACAAAATCAACTTTACTGGTGCAACACAATCTTATCAGTTCGATAAAACAATTCTAAGAACAATGTGGCTAATAGAAAAAGGAACTAAGCAAAAGGTGTAGTTTTTGCCCATAACAGCCAATCAGGTGCCACATTTCATTTTACTGAAACTTTTTAGGCAACAGCACCCATTTTTACAGGAGTTTTAATTAATTAGCCTCCACGCTTATTAACCCAACTTGGCCAATCACAAATCATTTTACTGCAAACAACTGAGTTAAAGTAGACTTATGGGGGGCTGCTATTGCTGACATCCTTAACTGACCCATCCAAACCTCTCAATAGCCGCTAACCTGGAACAAGTATCTAGATTAGGAAAGTCAGAGGAAGGTCAGATGCCCTTATCTGAATATTTGTTCTAGGTCAGTGGTTCTCAGCCATATTGAGACCAGGGCCAATTCTTCCTGAAAAGTTTATACTCCCACTATAAAAGTATGGGAATACAAAGTATGTATTGAAATGCTGGAAGAATCTAGATGGGGTTGGGTGTCACTGTGGGGGATATAAGTTCTATAGGGAGTTAGGGAACTCTGAAGCAAACTTTGTGGCCTGGTAGGGGATGAGGTTTCCGGGGGTAACTGTGGGGAACTTGCAGGGCCCTGGGGGGAAGGGGAACATTGTTAGAAATTGGACGATCTATGGGGGTGATCTATGGAGGCATCGGAGTCTCTACAGCAGGTTAGCGGACACTGCAGGGTGTCATGGTGTGGAGGGGGGTGCTCTGGAGGCAGTTAGGGGACTTTACAACAGACTTTGTGGCCCTACAGTAACTGAGGTTGCTTGGGGGAGATGGGGGTGCCTGTGGGGTAGTGTAGGGCTCTGGGGAGTGTGGGGACACTGTTTGAAACTGGGCAAACTATGAGGGACTGGAGGCTCTACAGCAAGCTATGGGGCACTACAGGATGCTGGGTGTCACTCTGAGGAGGGTAATGGGGAGAGTTAGGGATCTCTATAGCAGACTTTTTGGCCCTATAGCGGATGAGGTTTTTGAGGGAGCTGGGGGTAACTGTGGGAGATTAGGGGAACTATGGAGGAAGGAGGGGTGGAGGCTCTGTAGCAACCTAAGGGGCACTGTGGTGCTGAGTGCTCTCTGAGGCTCTGTGGGTACTGTGGGAGACTGAGGGGGACTCTGAACTTCTATGGGAGGTTGGGGGGAACTATAGGAGCTAGGAGGTACTGTGGGAGGTTAGGGGATTTGCAGCTGGCTTGAGGCTTGGAAAGAGGGAGGTCCGGCAGTAGATCAGCATTTTCAGAAGATCCTAATGGCATCCTTCACGTTTCACTTGTCACCTATCTCTATGAAAATGTTTAATATTTTTGCAATATTTGCCACACGTTGCGCCACATTGTTAGAAAGACCCGTGTCCACACAGATGGAAAATGGAAGGTTTTATTAAAAATTGAGTTTGGCCCTAACATCTAATATATCCAGATAGTGAGACACACCCACACATTGTTCTGATTATGAATTATTTAATACAATTTGCCAAGGTCACATTTTTGATAGATTCTTCTCTGCTGACTGGTGTTAAAATATTTGACACTGTAGCCAGTAAAGTCAATCCTGTTTTTCTGCTGGTTCAGTTATACAAATATATTTCAAAGCTAAGAGACAGCAGGTGGGGAAGGAGCGTATTATGGTTTGAGACAAATCCTTATTGAGAGGAAATTGTGATACAATGAATCACGGCAGATATGTAGAAGTTAACAGGAGGCTGGCCCCCGTTTCCTGTCCTCCCGTAGATGCCAACGGAGTTAGTGGGCACTTTGTCAGACCAGGGTGGATCTAAACAAATGAATCAGCCACATTCTTCCTACAAGAATCTTCCACAGAGATGTGTCACCAGCCCTGCCGACAGGTGGGAATGATTAGCGTGAAGCTGCAGGTCGTGGGTTCATGAAATGGTCTTTATACCAGCAACTTACTGTGTAACCCTTCATACAAAGGGCTTAGTGTGTCCACCATAGCTGGACCCCTGATTCATCTCCTTCCATAATGTAAGGTCCAGAATCTCATCTGTACACTCTGGGCTGTATTAGGATACAAGCAAGGTACAGAGGTACAGTGAGAGCCAGCCTATCATTAAATGCCCAACTCTTGGGCAAGCTTAACTTTTAGCTTCTGAAAGAGTGAGGGTAGCTTAAAACACCTGATAAAATCAAGGATCTGATCCCCCTGCTATTCAATACAGGATCAGACCCAACTTCACCCACAACCACTGTGTACTTTACATGACATTACATTACATAACACTATCACCTACCCACCCACACTGTACAATATAGGATCTAATGCCACCAACTACCCACCCATGCTGTACAATAACGGATATAACCCAACTTCACCCCTGCCCACACTGTACAATATAGGATCTAACACCACTACCTACCCACCCACACTGCACAATAAATGATATACCAAACATCACCCCCAACCACTCTGTACAATATTGGGTCTCTCACCAACACCTACCCACCTACACTGTATAATACAGGACCTAACGCCACCACTTACCCTGTACAATTTAGAATCTAACACCACCTACCCACACTGTACAATAAGAGATATACCCAACTTCACACCACCCACCCACACTGTAGAGTACAGCATGTAATGCCACCACTTACCCACTCACACTGTACAATACAGGACATGACCTGACTTCATTCCACCCAGAGTGTACAATACGGGACATGACCCAAATTCATGCCATCCACCAACATTGTACAATATAGGATCTAAGGCCACCAGCTACCCATCCTTAGTGTATAATATATATTACATAACAAAACTTTATTCTCACCCACCCATACCTGCCCACACTGTACAATATGGAACATGACCCAACTTCACCTACATCTATCCACACTGTATAATATATTGTATATACCTACCAACACACAGTGTATAATACAGAACACAAACCAACTTTACCCCCAGCCACATTGTACAATACAGAATCTAACATCACCACCTACCCAGCCAAACTGTACAATAGGGGACATGACCCAATTTCACCTCCACCCACACTGTACAATATAGGATCTAACATCACCACCTATCCACCCACCTATATAATAAGGGGCATGACCTAACTTAACACCCAGCCTCCCACACTGTGTAATATGGAACATGACCCAATTTCACCTACATCCATCTGCACTGTATAATATAGATTTTAACACCACCACCTACCCACACTCAGCGTATAATTCAGGACACGAACCAACTTTACCTCCACCCACTTTGTACAATACAGAATCTAACATCGCCACTAGAGATGAGCGAATTATTCAAAAATTCGATTCGGCTGATTCGCCGAATTTGCTGGAGAAATTCGATTCGATGCAAATTTATTCGCCGCGAATTTAAAAGGGTTTCTAGGCTTCAGAGAGCCTTTATATTAGTGCAGAACACTGTACCTTTAATTTAAATGCCCTTGGAGTCTGCTGGGGAAGAGAAATAATACTGTCAGTCAGTATGACATGCAGATGAGTGCCGTCGATCTTAGAATCACCGCACACCTCACTCATTTGGGCAGTCACGGGGCACGACGAAGAAGAAGAAGAAGAAGAAGAAGAATGAAAAGAAGAATGAAAAGAAGAAGAAGAAGAATGAAAAGAAGAAGAAGAAGAATGAAAAGAAGAATGAAAAGAAGAAGAGGAAGAATGAAAAGAAGAAGAAGAAGAATGAAAAGAAGAATGAGAAGAAGAATGAAAAGAAGAATGAAAAGAAGAATGAGAAGAATGAAAAGAAGAATGAAAAGAAGAAGAAGAAGAATGAAAAGAAGAAGAAGAAGAATGAAAAGAAGAATGAAAAGAAGAAGAATGAAAAGAAGAAGAAGAATGAAAAGAAGAAGAAGAAGAATGAAAAGAAGAATGAAGAAGAAGAATGAAAAGAAGAATGAGAAGAAGAATGAAAAGAAGAAGAATGAAAAGAAGAAGAAGAATGAAAAGAAGAATGAAAAGAAGAAGAAAGAATGAAAAGAAGAAGAAGAAGAAGAATGAAAAGAAGAATGAAAAAGAAGAAGAAGAAGAATGAAAAGAAGAAGAATGAAAAGAAGAATGAAAAGAAGAAGAAGAAGGATGAAAAGAAGAAGAATGAAAAGAAGAATGAAAAGAAGAAGAAGAAGAATGAAAAGAAGAAGAAGAAGAATGAAAAGAAGAATGAAAAGAAGAAGAAGAAGAATGAAAAGAAGAAGAGGAATGAAAAGAAGAAGAAGAAGAATGAAAAGAAGAAGAAGAAGAATGAAAAGAAGAATGAAAAGAAGAAGAATGAAAAGAAGAATGAGAAGAATGAAAAGAAGAATGAAAAGAAGAAGAAGAAGAATGAAAAGAAGAAGAATGAAAAGAAGAAGAAGAAGAATGAAAAAGAAGAAGAAGAAGAATGAAAAGAAGAATGAAAAGAAGAAGAAGAAGAATGAAAAGAAGAATGAAAAGAAGAAGAAGAAGAAGAAGAATGAAAAGAAGAAGAAGAATGAAAAGAAGAATGAAAAGAAGAAGAATGAAAAGAAGAAGAAGAAGAATGAAAAGAAGAATGAAAAAAGAAGAAGAAGAAGAATGAAAAAAAGAAGAAGAAGAATGAAAAGAAGAAGAAGAAGAATGAAAAGAAGAAGAAGAAGAATGAAAAGAAGAATGAGAAGAAGAATGAAAAGAAGAATGAGAAGAATGAAAAGAAGAATGAAAAGAAGAAGAAGAAGAATGAAAAGAAGAATGAGAAGAAGAATGAAAAGAAGAATGAGAAGAAGAATGAAAAGAAGAATGAAAAGAAGAATGAAAAGAAGAAGAAGAATGAAAAGAAGAAGAAGAAGAATGAAAAGAAGAATAAGAAGAATGAAAAGAAGAAGAAGAAGAATGAAAAGAAGAATGAAAAGAAGAAGAAGAATGAAAAGAAGAAGAAGAAGAATGAAAAGAAGAATGAAAAGAAGAAGAATGAAAAGAAGAAGAAGAAGAATGAAAAGAAGAATGAAAAGAAGAAGAATGAAAAGAAGAAGAAGAATGAAAAGAAGAAGAAGAAGAAGAATGAAAAGAAAGAAGAAGAAGAAGAATGAAAAAGAAGAATGAAAAGAAGAATGAAGAAGAAGAATGAAAAAGAAGAAGAAGAAGAATGAAAAGAAGAATGAAAAGAAGAAGAAGAAGAATGAAAAGAAGAAGGAGAAGAATGAAAAGAAGAATGAAAAGAAGAAGAAGAAGAATGAAAAGAAGAAGAAAATGAAAAGAAGTATTCCAGTACAGCAAAAAGTGTATCTGCAGAGAGCTCCGCTATTTCTGACAGTTCTCTGACAGTTCCTTCACATTTACAGCGGTTGAAACATTGTATCTATTTATTTCCGAATAAAAACATCTGTATCCTAAATGGAAACAAATAGATACAATGTTTCAACCGCTGTAAATGAACTGTCAGAACTGTCAGAAATAGCGGAGCTCTCTGCAGTGACACTTTTGCCGGCTGATCGGGAAAAATTCGATTCGTGCACCCGAAGTTTGCTAAAATTCGGATTCGATGCAAATCGAATTTTTCCTGATATTCGAAACGAATTCCACTTCGCCAGGTTCGATTCGCTCATCTCTAATCGCCACCTACCCAGCCAAACTGTACAAAAAGGGACATGACCCAACTTCACCTCCATCCACACTGTATGATAGAGGATCTAACATCACCACCTACTCACCCCCCTATTTAATAAGGGACATCACCCAACTTAACCCACCCTCCCACACTGTGCAATAAGCAACACAACTTAATCTAACCTAACCCCTACATACCCACAATGTGCAATAAGGGACATGGCACAACTTCACCTCCACCCAAACTGTAAAGTTTAGGATCTAACACCACCACCACCTACCCATCCAGACAGTACAATACGGAACATGACAAAATTTCACCACAATATATGATCTAATGCTACCACCTACCCCCAGAGAGTGTACAGTAAAGGATCCAGTCCCACACTCACACATGGTATAATCTAGCAACTGAGTCCTCTGTGACACTCTATACAATAATTAATCTCAATCCCACAGAGCCACACACTGTACAATACCAAGTCTATTTTGTCCCCCATTAGGTGAATTATCAACCAGTGAACAATTTATACAGTATGGTACATTGTACAATCTTCCATTAGCCTATATAGTATACCTTTAATTGTTGCAGTCCTGGATGTGGTCACACCCTTTCTATTATGCGCTTCACAGGAAAATAAGGATGATTTATTCAGACCTAGAGAGAAGAGAATGAATCTTTTAAAATACTGCATTGTGATCAATATCGCAAACTCCCAACTATCCAATTCATCAAAGGAAGTCCCCATTTGGACCATAATCCCTTTGTTCTTTAAACCTCCAAAAATGCTTATTTTATAGGCCTTTAGAACCAAGAACATAAAAGGGTCACCACACACATATAGGAATAATTCCAAAATATACACTCATATTCATCCCATCAAGCTCATTTAAAGCAAAGAACAAAAATGAAGTGTATTGCAACTTACTGGTCCATGGATGTGCTGGCTGCATTAGTTTAGAACCACTGTCAAACTGTATTTGAAGAAAGCTGAGCATTGAGTCCAGCTATTCTAGTTTAAATTGTTTTATACTAACACCTTCACATCCTAGTCTGACAAGGTGCTCCCTCCGTACTATACTTATGCAGGAGCAGTAATGTCATTCTAGGACAGAAAGTGTGTTAGGACTGCAAAAAAGCTTCTCATCTGTTCTTCTCCATAACAAAGGGGAAAGTGTTCCATAGAGAGAACTGGGAACCATGCTAACTGATAACAGTGCAGCACATGTACATTGCAGTTTAGAAGACTTGTGGCAGGTTCAACAGACATTTTTTTGCACATATCAAACAGATATAAAAAAACACTTCCTTTGGTGTATATATATATATATATATATATATATATATATATATATATATATTATAATCAGCCAGAGAAACATGAACATGTGCAGAAAACTCAAACAATCACAACAGCACTGAGATCACAAAATATATCCATATCATCTTCTAGGAACATTGGAGCCTTGGGGCCAGTTACTCTCCTGTACATTGTTATGAGTGGGAGGTTGGCACAGATAGCACCCATCCCTGCCCTGCTCTCTGAATGAATATTAGTTTTGGCTTGCCATGAAAATATAAGGTCTCCTTGGGGAAGAAATATCGCTTCCAAATCTTTCACTAGGAGGGCAAGTCTAACTGTTCCATTAAATATGATCTAATAGCTTAAACATTCAAAGACAAACTACTAGTACGTCACCGGCTGTATCAGCCTCCACAGCGAGGAATGGGGAGGACCAGACATGCATAGAAGAAAACCTTAAAGGAAACCTGAGCCGAAAAGATGTAGGCTTCAAAAACTGACCTCTGTATAAAGAGCTAGTTTCCTAGTTGTGATTCTTATCCAATGGCTTCAATATCTGGACTGCTTATGAAACTACTTGTCACCTGACTGTCATCCTTATCCAATGCCTCCAAAAGCTGACCTCCTTATGAAACTGCTAGTTGCCTAGTTGCGAGTCTTATCCAATAGCCTAAATAGCTGCCCTCCTTATCAACGTTCTAGTTTCTGGCTTCGAGTCTTATCCAATGGCTTTCAATAGGTGACCTTCATTCAAAACTGTTAGTTGCCTGACTGTCATCCTTACCCAATGGTTCCAAAAGCTGACCTTATGAAGCTGCTAGTTGCCTAGTCTTATCCGATAGCTGGCCACCTTATCAAACTTCTAGTTATCTGGCTGCGAGTCATATCCGATTACTTCAATCGCTGACCTCCTTATGAAACTTCTAGATGCCTGGCTATGATTTTTTTTCAATGGCATTCAATATCTGACCTTCTTATTAAGCTGCTAGTTGCCTGATTGTCTTAGTTATCCAATGACTTCATTACTTTTCGAGTGAAGTACCTAGAAAGGTATACAGATCAGGAATTTTTCTTTGGCTGCATTCTTGGTGTAGCTCAGAGACTTAGAAAGGAGGTCAGCATCTGTAGCCTATATATTTCCAGCTGCATAAAGTTTTCTTTTCTGAGAATTTCTACCTTTGACATTATTTCTTTTTTCTATTTTTAATTCTGTTACTTTTCACCTTTACATAACTGTTTTGTTCTGCTTGCTCCTTGCTATTTTGTAACTTAATCCCTCTAACCTGACAGTAGCTAGCAGCCATGCACAGCACAGCTCTTAGCATCCTCGGGAGAGAAACAGAGAGCATGCACAAAATATGAAGTCTGCTTTTTTCTTAGCATTAGCTCTAAACAAGTTGGAAAATCTTCAATTAGTTTTTCTGACAATTGACAGTGCTTGTTATGTTCGCTTGGTGTGGCATAGTCACCTAGTTATGTTCCCTATATACCGAGACAGTTATCAACACTGGTCCTTTCTTTTTTATTAATACTTTATTGCATAATTCTCATTCTGTTATTAACTGTTGCAGCATAAAAGAATCACAAGCATAAATCTTTGATTGCTGAGGCCTAAAGTGCAACAAATAATGAGTATCAATAAAACCAACATGCCAAGTCTTTCTTACCTTTCTCTTGTTTAATTTATTAATTTATGTGGCAGTGACACTTTTCTAGAGGGCTTTATAGAGAACAAAAAACAATTACATCCATCCCTGCCAAAGTTTGGGTAGAAGACAGTTAAACTCATCCTGATCTGGCTTTAAATTTGGTAGCAACAGTGCTGAGGTGTGGGTACCTTTTCGTCCCCCATTTTAGTTTTGAAATAAATCCTCATATTCTTGTGGAGTTCCTTAGACCCAAGGACAGGGTAACACTTTTGGCCCCTGACTTCTGCTCAAGTCAGTATTATGCACCACCCCATCATTAGGCTGTTAAATGGAAGAAAATAAGTAAACTGTAGATGCCCAAGAGTTTGATGGGGGGAACGGATGTAGTGCCAGATAGTGTGTGGTTCAATCTTAAGTTGATCAGTAGGAACCAGAAAGCTAGCAATCATTGCTGGACCAATGAGCTGCAAGCGGAAGATTCTCCATCCTGCAGCTGCCACAGGGGCAGTGATGCTTGTAATGTCATTGACCTAAGATGACCACACAGCCATATCAGGTCAATGACATTGACCTAATATGGCCATGTAGGTCATCTAGGTGGTGTACAAGACTAATGGAAGAACCAAGACACAGGGTGGCCTGACACAGTTTTTTAATGATAAGAGATTAACAAATTCAATAGTCAACCACAGGCACAACAGTCAATTAAAGTCTTGGCACCACAGAAGCTGTGAGAAACACTGTTTACTTGTAATGAGATAGACTTTACTCCTGAATGATACCAGTTTCACTTATTATTTCCCTGTGCCGGAAAAGTGCTCCATTGAGAGGTGGTGTCAAGGTTAACTGCTGCTAGATTACACCAGGCTACTGTAGTATAAGATGCCCCAAAGCAATCTGTCCAGGAAAAGAGCAGCATGGACACCCTGGAAAGGAAACCTTTACATCCATATTTGTCCATAACCTATATCCAATCTGTTCCTAAGCTTTCCCTACCAAACAGAGCTTTTTTCCTGCCTACTGCCTCACTGTGTGCACCTCAAATGAAGATCACCTGCTCAAATCTTGTGGGATTTCGATATCCAACCGGGTCACCATCCACCCCAAGGTGGCCATCTGGAGCCCAAGATAGGAGACATTTCCTCCTCATTGGACTCCTACCAACTTGAAGAGATGGCACAATCGCACCTTCAGGATGGAGGTTATAGTGCAGCCTGTGCCTGCCTACAGCCATATGCCCTTATTAGATCAATGAGGTCACAAGCATCCTCACCCCCTTTGTGTTCATCAGCTGTGGGAAGGGGAATCTCCTGCTCACATCTCACTGGCCCAGCAATGACAGCTAACTTTTGGGTTTGGTCAGACTTGGTTTTGAACCAAACCCAAGCTCATCACTATTGGGCAGAAGTCAAGGTCTAGGATCTTCAAGCCTGGACCCAGGATCCAAGGCAACAAGGAAAGATTGTAAGACTAACATATGTTTTTGCAGACACCAGAGGGAACTGTCATTACTTTAGCAATGGTTTGGGCCTGGTCAGGTTCACATTACATTTTGGATTATTGGAGGAAAACCATGCAAACCAAACAAGGACATAGAAAACTCAATGCAGAAAGTATCTTTGTTGGTTGTTAAAGTCAGGACACCAGCGCTACTAGGCAACAGTGCTAAGTACTTTGCACAGTGCTTTCTTTTATATTAATATACTATTTTATATTATACTATACTACTAGAAAAAATACAGAATTAAACTAATTATATTTATTTAAAAAGGTAAGCATCTGATTGCTTGTCAATAGCAACACGCAGCCCTTCTTTCAAAACTCCAATATATTAAACTGTGAAAAACAGCGCTGGTCCTTCAGTACTGGATGACATAATTATAGGACACGTATTACTATTCTTTCACCCCAGGTCAAACACTATAAATAGAAATTAGGTCATTAGCCAGTGAAGTAATAAACCTATTCAGAATTCCATCATTAGCCAAGCTCTACAAGTTAAAGTGCACCTCAACTCAAAAAGAAAAGATTTGCTAAGTTACAGCAAAATGTTAATTGTTCCAAACAATTCTCTGAAAAATGTACCTTTATCTGGGTTTCCCACTTAGAAAAAGAAGAGCACTGGTATGTGAGGATGCTTAGACTAGCATTGTGAGGCCTATGGCACTGTTGCCTCTGATTGCTAGACTTAGATTTGGAGCGATGTTCGGTGATTTTACTGCTGTACTATTCACTGTTCTCATTTCTGGAGGCTCTGTAATCAGGAAGCAAAACCCTTCCTTTACGAAGATGGCCGCTCTGACACACAGACACAGTGCAGAACACGGTATGGTAAATCAGTAATGGGAAAAGATGAGCTGCAAGAGACCACAGGTAAAACTAGTGCCTAGTCTTTTGCCCTCAGCCTTCCAGTTCAGTTTCTCTTTAAAGTTATATTAAACCCTCAGTCTTCTAAAGCAATTTTACCAGCTAATTGAATCACTTACTGAGTATGCAGCTTCTCTGTTCTTTAATCCTTACCATTTTCCCTTTTTAAGTTGGTGCCATAATAACTGCCCCAGGATTCCTATTTCAGGGTGGCTGCCAAGAGGCCTACAGGAACATTAAAGGAGCTGCAGGAATATCTGGCAAGTACTGGCTGTGTGGTATATGTGACAATCTCCCGTATTCTTCATATGTCTGGGCTATGGGGTAGAGTGGTAAGA